GTGGGAGATGCAATTCCCCTAACCTTGCAATAGTCTTCAAACTTCTTCCACTTGTTGTCGTACAAGGAACGGATCCAAGTGCGAAGCGCTGAAGTGATAGCTGTGGCTACTCGGCGAGAGTAGCCCTTAGCTATGAGAGACCTCTGAAGATGCGCCAAACGTGTAGATTAAGGGTCTGAGGTGACCCGTGGCGCAGTTCAGAGTGAGGGTGAAGAAGTAGGTTGTCCCGGTTGGGAAGCGGTACTGGGTTTGGCTCTGCCAGGCTTCTTAGGTTGACGAACCTTGTGGCGAACAGATCTATTTGAGGCCGTGATAACAGGTAGATCATCGACTGAAAGATCTGGGGCAGTAACTTCCACTCTGTCGGGGACGGTCGGTTGGATCAGGACAAGGCATCAGCGATCACATTTTTAACCCCGGGAATGTGTCTGGTTCTGGCTACGATGTTGAGTGAGTCGATGAGATGGAAGAACCTGTTTGCCCATTGTAGCAGATTCGCCGAGTCTGTCGAGCCTAGATGATTTATATACCAAACCACTGTCGAATTGTCTGATTGGATCAACAGACTGGTTGATTGAAGCTCTGTTGCCCAATGTGAGATGGCTTGAATTACCGCCTTGAATTCCAGCTCGCTTAAATGAAGTACCCGTTCATCGGATGACCACAGCCGGAGTTTTGTTGGCATTTTTCTTTGGAACCAAGAAGATGATGGAGTAGAAACCTGGAGTGATGGGCGATGGACCTAGGAGCTCTATCACGAGTTTGTCTAATAGCGTACCTATTGTGGATTGCAGAGTCTGAAACTGGTCCACAGGATATGAGCGATGAGCCGGATGCGACGTCAGAGGTGGACTGCCAATAACGGGTAGCTGATAGCCGTGAAGTAGCAGGTTGGTGACGTACGGATTTCTGAGGATGGTCCAATTTGGGGTGAAGATCTGAAATCTCCCGCCTACTGGAGTGTTGTAAATTGGAACGACTGGGGTGGAAGGTCCTAGTCGTGCGATTGTCTCAAGCCGTCACTGCTTCCTGGCGCTGGTCCCTGGGCCAGAGTTGGTCCTGGGGGGGCGACGGGAGGAACCACCATGGCCATATCTGTTTCCTCTGCCCCGGCCTTGAGTGGATGCGCCATGAAAAAGATTGCGTAAATCCAGATTGGTAGTAGTGAACTGTGCAGTTCGATGCTGTTTTAATGAGTCCTGGAGCTGTGACTTCTGTATCTTTAACAGTTCAATCGAGACTTGAAAGTGGGTTTCTTTATCAACTTTAGTAGATACTTCTTGGATGCTACCATTGAAGAGGGAGTCAGTAAACCAAGGCTGGCAAAACAGTTCTATTTTAAATCGCTCCTCCCATGAAGAGATGTTAAGGGGTGCACGTCGTCGAACAGCAAGAGTGTAGCCCAAACAATGAGACAACTGATCCAGGACAATTTGGAACTGGTCCAGAGCTAAAGTCATGCATCCTCGGATGTAAGCATCTTGATCAGAATAAGTATGCTCCAGAGCAGTGTTAACAGCGTCCACTGCTGCAATCACGCAACTAATAGATGGCAACGTCTTTCTCATGGCTGAATCCATGTGAGCCAACTCTTGGTCCTCAAAAAGGTAGGGCGAAGCAGCTCGTTTGCCACACAGGGTTCCAATATCCTCAACTGTTGGAGCTGTAGAGATTTTTGTTAGGCCGTGGACATGAGAGGTAGACGGATTATATCTGGGAGCAGAGAATCCGTCCTTAACTCGTTTCAGGCTCTTGAAAAAACATCATTTACTGTACTTGATAATTTCAGAATACGAGGTTGAGGTGGTAGGGTGATGGTAGACCAATCCTGGTTCCTAAGATTATAAGAGTGATCCAGGTCATCTGCTGAAGTACTCAAGGGAAGTTGGAGCTTCTCAACAATCCAAAGGAGTACCTGAGGTGTCTCAACTGCTGCAAAGCTACCCCCAGGGGTAGATAACTCAGAGTGAGCGGGAGATGCAGGCATGGCTATTTGGACTGGATCAATCTCAGGAGGTGGACCAGATGAAGATCCAGGAGCTACCGAAGCTGGATGGGCTGGAGTAGAAGGCTGTATTTGGTTCCAGGCTGAGGTTAGGAGTGGGATTGTTATCAGGTTCCCATGACTCAGCGATGATCCTAGAGTGAGTCGAGGATTTTCAGAGCGTGTAGACAGAACATCGTAAAAGACTGTAGGCCTATTAGTGGTATCAGAGCAATGATCACCCGAACGTCGGTCAGAGGAACTGTATCTAGATCTCGACGTGGTAAGTACCGAAGTAGGTGGTAAGCCGGTGATCTGGATTCCCTAGTATGGCTAGGTGATCCGGTATGATATGAAGAACTAGTCCGGGTCGCTATAGCTCTAGTTGGTGATCTGGTTCTCATTCGAGCTCTGGTTCGACCATCTGAATAGGATCGGCCATGAGATGTGGATCTGTACTGTGATCCCGATTGGTCAATGGCTCTGTAAGGTTATCTAGATCGTATAGGTGACCTGGGTTGGTAAGATGATCTGGATTTGTAAAGTGATCTGGATCGATTCGATGCACTAACTGGAACCTGTGATTGTGATCTGGATCTATAAGGTGATCTAGATCAAACAGGTGATCTGGTTTGCAGTTGCGATCTGGCTTGATTTGGTGATCTGGATCGGTTAGGTGATCTACTTTGATGTTGTGATCTGAATCGGTTCGGTGATCTGGATTGGTCTGGCGATCTACTTCGATGTTGTGATCTGGACCCGTTTGGTGATCTGGATCGGTTAGGTGACCTAGATCGGTCCGGTGATCTACTTCGATGTTGTGATCTGGATCGGCTAGGTGATCTGGATCGGTCCGGTGATCTGATTGGTGATGTGGATCGTAGTTGTGCTCTGGATTGTGACTGTGATCTGGATCCATCCGGTGATCCTGATCGGCACGGTCATTTAGATCGGGTTTGTGATGGTGATCTAGATCGTTGTGGTGAACTAGAATGATGTGGTGATCTGGATCGCCGATTAGGTGACGAAACCTGAAGTGTTGATTCATGATGAACGTCCCCCGGCGACGCTGTTGTAGCCAGCTCCGTCTGGTTCCATGAATTGGGGGGGAACAGTTGGCTGGTTGAACGCAGTTGGCCAGGCTCCAAACAAACTGAGACAGTCGAGGGGATATGTACCGATGATCTGGATGATGATAGTGTCGATCTAAGGTCCCCTGGTAGTGTAGATGGGACAGGCAACGATGAATTATCGATCACAACCACCAGCGAGTGATCTGACTCTATGGAAGGAGGTGATTGATGCGTCGCACGTAATAGGTGCCGAACGTCCTCAGATAAGTAAGAATCTGATGAAGCGTCCATAAAATCCTCTTGAACCACAGATGTCGCTCTCTTGCGTGAAGGTACGATTTACTGTCGCTGTAACATGATACGCTTGGCGGGAGTGGGATCAGATTCTGTTGATTTCCTGTCCCTATCGGCGATTCTCCGGGAGTAAACACGAAGGTAGGCCTTAAAATCCTCATCTTTTAGTGAATTACACTTGCCACATTGTTTGTTCCAGTTACATTGTCTAATACAGTCACTGCAAGACGAGTGAGGGTCGAGGGATGAATAATTCGTCTTGCATTGAGCACAAACTTTCCTTTTCCTTGACTGATTATCTGTTTTCCCCATGATGTTAGGGTGAAATAATGTCCCTAATATACAGCACATCCGCACAGTCGTGCAACAAGAAAAAGAATGATCATTCAAGGTAGTCACGTGGGCAATTAGTGGAGCATGCTGCAAGCTTTATTAGGAACTAGGAAGCTAATTAAGGAGAGCAGCATGGAGTGCACGGGCGAATGGACAAGGAGGCCTAAGGAAAAAAGGTTTACAGTTGTTCCACTAAAAGTCGAAGCAACAGAGAGAGGTGCAAGTCGTGAGATATGAAAAATATAATTTTTAAACTTATATTGACTTTTTAAACAAAAACACAATTCCATAAAAGTGATGACGAATGAGACCTCACCTTTCTCGAGCCAACATTGCCCATTAATAATAATAAGAAGAATATTTATATAGCACTGACTTGCACCACAAGGCCCACAAGGAGCCCCTGTTATGAACTCTATCAAACATCTTTGGGACTACGGTATCTTGCATATCAAGTTTGAGCTTGAGATACTACTGTTCAAAATCTGTAGAAATTGATGCAGGCACTCCACTGGGAATGGCAGATGATTCCAATGCTGAGATTTTGATGCTTGCTTGCAGATATGAGGTGCTTGACTGCCAGTATGAGGAGATGTCATCAGTGCAAGATGAGGTAACAGCAAGTACTGATGTGGTTGCCAGCCCGGGTTCATACAATTACAACAACCATTATTTGTGTGACAATAAGAGTGGTGGTGTAGTGATGGTGACCATATTTTCTGGCATTGTTGATATTCACATTTTTGTGTATTCCTTTCAAATTGCAAGTTAATTTTGACAAAATTTCATTTTCGGTTACAATTTTAACATGCAAACCGGGGCCTTTTTGTAAAAAAAAGCAAGGGGTGCTCGATCAATGCTCACTGCATAAATGACACTGTTGACATATAGCTCGAGTGTGATAATGTCATGTCCCAAGTTCATTCTTATTTACTTTCATATCAGTCTTGTTAATTAACTTTGCCTGTTTTACCTTTTACACCTCTGAAGTCAATAATCAAGACTGATCTGGCACTGACATTTTATATTTACTGAATCATCAGTGTTGAGGAGCAAAACATACATCAATATGACTGCCATTTCCAGGTAATGATACACAAAAACTTAGCACCGACTGATTTTGAGTATATTTTAGAATGCTGCTCACTACAACTGAACATACTGAAGAGATATAGTAATGGAAAGTCACTTTAATTTTATCCTTGTAAGTATAAGAGATTTATTACCATTTGTGTTAATACCACACCAGATATTTGTGCAGTACTGAAACCAGAAAACATATTTTTTGTACATGTCTAGTACAGGTTGAAACAAACCTGTAGCATCCATTGCTGGTAGCCCAAGCTCCAGGCTTTTGTCCCTTGGTGTGGCTGCTACACTGGGAGGTAGAGAAGATCTTGGGGTGCTTGAAGGAGTTCTGTTTGCCATGTTCTGTCTGAGATTGTGGTCAGATATCAGCTGGGAACAGGCATGATGACCTTGTATGACTGCACAATCATCAGCTGTCCAACCTTCAACAGTTTTAAACACTTTCCTATAAACTATATGCAAATAAATGACAATATCTCTAATATTTTTGTTTCATTTGTTAACAGCATAATTATCGCTTTATAAAAGAGAAATACTTTTAAATTGATAGATTTAACTTCCCAAAACTTTCCTCAGTAGAAACATTTAGCATAGACAAATCATTTTGACTTTACTGAAACAGGTGCTGACCTTACCAAGCAATATCCTGTATCAATGTTTGATGCTCAACATTGTCTAACCACCAGTTAAATGTGCTGTGTTTTGAATATTTTTGAGGAAGGGTACATGTAGTTTCGATTCCTCTTATTTTAACTTGAAGGAAAAACAAACTATGGGATTCTCATTTTTGGTCTATAAACTATTTTGTTTCATTTGTTGTCATATGCCAAATTCCATTTATAAGTGAGAACCAGACAATACACTCACTGATACTGTGGGCAACCACTTATGCCTATGAGGCAAGACAACAATCAAGCAAGTTAATGTCTGAAACCAAATCTTTATTTACTGTGGATCTAACCTGAAATCCCTTTGGAGCCATGGACGTAAGTTTATCCAAAAGTTGAAGTAACAAGCACAGAACAGCAAATTCTTGTAGAGTGGATAAACCATTAGGATAAAGTACAGGTCACAAAGCATATGTTATCCTGATAACCTCTTCATGCCCAGTGATGTGCATGTGCATGTGCAAATACATTTCTCTAAAGGAATATAGTCTATTTCAAGGGAAGTTATCTTGCTATGCTCAGATTTGTGAAGGGAAATACAAACAAGCATTGTCACTAAGGTGACATAATCCCCTGCCGCAAATTATCAAATCAAACTTATAAAGTAATGAAAGTTTAAGATGAAGTTAAATGTCAACAAAAACATGACCACGTTTTCAAGACTGACTTTGACCTTGACATGAATGTCATAGTGTATGAAATATGCACAAATAGTACTAAAGAAACTGCTTATTGAAAAACATTCAAGGGAAGTCTATGAAGAAAATCCAGTGAACTGTATTTGAAATATCTTGCTGACAATTCAGGTTAACAAGCTGAAATCTTCAAAGTGTCGTCCTGACCCTGAAAATTATGTGCAGGTCACCAAAATTGACTGAGCCCTGGACCTTCCCTAGATGAAGCTTGGTGACAAATATGAAGAAAATCCAGTGAATATTTTTTGCGATATTTTGATGACTATCTTAACATGCAATTTAACATGCTGAAATCTTCAAAGTGTCTGTGTGACCTCGAAAATTAAGTGAAGGTCACCAAAATCAACTGGGCCCTGCGCCTTCCCTAGATAAAGCTTGGTGTCAAATATGACGAAAATCCAGTGAACGGTTCTTGAGATAGCTTAACATGCAGGTTTACATGCTGAAATCTTCAAAGTGTCCCAATGACCTTGAAAATTATGTGAAGGTCACCAAAATCGACTGGGCCCTGCGCCTTCCCTAGATAAAGCTTGGTATTGAATATTAAAGTCCCCTTGTGACCTTGAAATGAAGGTCAAGGTCACCAAACCTGATTTGGACCTTTCTTATACTGTGATAAACCTAGGTACCAAATATGAAAAGAATCTAGTGAACGGAAGATATTCCAATTCGTACGTACGGACGGAGCCTAATACTTTATCCCCCGCCACGCGTTTAGATGCGTTTTTTGTCTAAGGCACATATTTTATTTATATTTAGTTCAACACAAATGAATGAGTTGTTTCCTTTCACAACATAAAACAATGAAACTTTGATAATACTGACCCTTGCTGTCCTTGTGAGTGGTTTCAGCACCAAATTCTAACAGAGTCCTGACCAGGTTGATAGAACCCTCTTGACATGCCTTCATTAGACAAGTTCTGAAAAGACATGCAAACATTTCTCAAGTACGTGTAATGAAAATTTTTGTGCATTTTCCTATTTGTTTCAGGTGTACTCTGGCCTCATGAACAAGTACAATGAACTTCAAAATTTGTATCCACTGATAAAGAGCGGGTTGCCAAAAGTACGGAATCCCTCTTTTATTACACAGATTAATCATGTTAATCTATGTGTTTTTGTTCTGTTGGTTACTTGTGTTGCATTCATCCTTTCCTTGCACTTTTTCTGCCAAAGTCTGTCTACTGTGTATGTAAAAAATGTTCACCTTTCTATTGACATCTGGGGAGTGAAGAGCTTCCTGACTCTGTTCAACACTTATTCCACTCTAGTGACCACACCACCAGTGTAGGCTTATCACGTAACCTGGCTTTCTTTTCGTTGCACGTAAATGAACTAATGCAGATAAAAAAGAACAGACAGGTCCAATGCATGCCTTTTGGTGCGCTTTACATATTGTTTGGCATAATTATATATATATATTACTACCACTGTGACTGTGTAAATGACACATTGCATTACATATGAAAGTGACCATATTGCCAACTATACTGAACTGCAAAAGAAACGTCACCCTACCAAACATTTTGCCAGATATGTTTCTTCTGAATGTTAATTAATTTTTCACTATTTATATTTTAGCTAGACCTGGTGCGTAGCCAATGTTCAAGAAAATTTGGTTTCAGATGCTGTATTTGATACAAAAAACATGTCGTCAAAACGCAGTTACTAAAGTAATGATGGGATGAGGTTTTTGTGTGTATTTCATGAAAATGACAATGCACATGCATCCCGAGGTGTCATCCCTATAAGAAGAGCCACCGAACATAATCAAATCATTCACTGTTCGACAGTAGCGACATGCCACGATTATCAAGGGAACAGAGAGACCAAGCTTTAGGAAGACTGAATGCTGGCCAGACTGCAAGACATGTTGCAAATCATTTTTCTGTTTATGTTCAAACAGTATACCGCCTGCAGCAACGAGTCCAAGCCACTGGAAGCACAGCCGACCGTCCTCGCAGTGGAAGACCGCCTGTGACAACATTGAGGTAAAATCGGCAGATTGTCCGATATCACCTGCAAAATCGTTTCGCTAGGGCTACTGAAACTGCACAGACAACCATTGGCAATGACCAGAGACCAATCAGCGCAGACACAGTGCGGAGGTGTTTGAGGCAGAGAAACGTCAGATGTCGCAGGCCTTACCGGAGTCCGATCCTCACTGTTCGACATCGTCGTGCTCATCTCCAGTGGGCCACACATCATCGGAATTGGCATCACCGGGAGTGGCGAACTGTAGTCTTCTCCGACAAAAGCCGATATTGCGTCTCGACGGCTGATGGCAGAGTGAGAGTGTGGTGACGACGTGGGGAGTGTTTTGCAGATGATTGTGTCCTGGAAAGAGACTCGTGTGGAGGTCCGAGCATAATGGTGTGGGGTGTTATTGCTCTCAATCACAAACTAGGTCCTATGGTGTTCCAGAATATTGGTCCTGGTAGAGGAAATGGTGTAACATCTGCCCGCTACATTGATCAAGCTGATGGAATGTACTTTGAGTCTGCTGTGTGTGCAAAGAATCTCTGAATTGTCCTGTCTCTGTTTAACTTGGCATTGTGGGGTTTGGCTACGTTGTGAATATCACTGTCACCATCGTCATCGCCCTCATAGTCGTTTTTGAGTGGTGTCCTGAACTCAATATTCATGTTGTGTAGCACAAACACTGCACTTATAATAGAGCAACATCATTTTGGTGGGTATCTTAACTCCGAGTGAACACAATGGAACCAGCACTTGATCACGCCAAAGCATATCTCAATGCAGTTCCTTGTTGATGCATGTGCATAGTTATAACGTTCCTCCTGTCTTGATCTGGGATTCCTGACAGGTGCGATCAGCCAGACGCGAACAAACATTTCACTCTCCCTAAGTATCTGCAAGTGATGAAAAGAACCGGGCACAGTTTAACACTCTCAGACTTGCATCACATACACCTTGAACAGAGTGGTACCCTTTTCTATAGACACAATTATGTTATTGTTCTTGTTCTTTTGGAGCCTGGATCCTAACGCTTTCCGTCAACACATCCTAGATTGATGAATAGTGACAGTATCCCCTACTACATTTTGAAATCATCCTGTAGCATAAAACCGTAAGGCTACAAGTACCAGCATTTCCGTGGTAAGGGTAGAATTGCGGTACGAGCCATAACCGGTACAACGTGTCTGTGCTCCCAGTGTACCTTCCAGGGCTGGAGAATGTCTGAGCAAATGCCTTGTCAAGACGTATCCTAGCCCCACACGAGTGGATGCTCAATCAAAGGACATTCAGGGTGAATTCCCACTTGTATGGACCGTTCCAGGTGGATTTGTTTGCGTCTGAGGGAACAAATGAGATTCCTATGTTCTGATCTTGGATCCCAGACCCAAAGGAGTTGGCTTCCGATGCCTTTGCACTGGATTGGACAGGCAAGGTACTGTGGGCTTCCCGCCCCTAGCTCCCAGGGTCCTGCTTCAGATTTCCACCCAGCCAGCTCAGCTTCTTGTGCTCCTTGGACCCCTTTGGCCATCCCAGAGCTGGTTTCCGGTATTTCTGGCTCAGCCTCCTGTTCTAATACCTTTTCGACCAGACCTTTTAACTCAGAACGTGCATTTATTGGGTGGCTTCAAGACACAATTCTGGCTTTGAGGAGGGGTTTGACAATATGTTCAGTATGAGGATATTTGGCCCGCCATGCACGCTGGTGTGACGACAGAGGGTTTCTAGATCCCTTTACTGCAGATCTAGTTGTGACACTGGAGTTACCTTCAGTCCCGTCTCGACGATAGGTTGTCAGCCTCTACTATTCAACGATACTCCATGGCTACCTTTCACACCCCTGTCGATGGTGTCCAGCACCCTCTCATACTGCGCTTTCTAGCAGAGTACACCCTATTACCAGGCGTACAAGGCCCCCTTGGGACTTGACAATTGTTTTAGATTGACTCTCCGGTCCCTCCTTTTGAAATCTGTCGGCTCTTTCACTCCAGCTGGTAACATGGAAAACTGCTTTCCTTATGGCAGTGACTTCTGGTAAAAAGGTGGGTGACATACATGATATGTCTGCAGACCCGGCGAAGAAGAAAGAGAACAGGGTCACTCTAGGGTCACGTTTATATTGTTATACAATATCCCATGAGCACCTCGGTGGCCCATAGACAGCCTCCCTAGAGTCGTCTGAAGAGCCACCAGGTAAGTATTACCTTCATACTTATCATTGTTTTGATTGTTGATGTTAGGCAGCGGTATTACCTCCCTTAGCAGAATCAACCACTTCCATTACTACTGTAGATAAGACGACCCCCCTAACTTGACCTTTAAAATCAGTGTCAATATGGTATGTTTCGTACATAAGCCGAAGTCCCCTGCGACAGGGGTCCTAATTGCGGTCAACTCAGACCACAAGACAACTGGCAGTTAACGTCTTGGATGTAAAACGGAAGTATGTTTGGGGAGAATAGTATCTAATAAAGATTTTACTGACCCACAATGTGGGAACCTGTGTTTGTTTTATTTTTAATATCATAACGATCACTGTTGGTATCAACGTGGCGTAATTTTACTCATAATGCTAAAAAAAATATTTATATTACCTGCAGTGAAGTTGTGTGTCCCTCTGATATTTATACATACTGTGTCTACTCATGTCTTGAAAAGAAGTGTAGTTGACAGAAAATGGATACACATACATATTTTGTTTTGCCAAAATCATATTTAGTGTATTGATCACATGTCAACAAACTGCTTTCGTGGTGGGAATAGCAAGATCGCAAAAACCTCATTGGTGACAGGTAAAATTGTTCCATGCATAAAAACTATCCGGCAATACTTCAAAACGCTGTCACATAATCTTAGTTATGATTATAAATATCTTACATTTGTAGAGCAAAACCTGCAATTAAAATTACACAATACTAGAATAGATTCTTCTTCATAAAAAAATAGTTTCAGATACTATATTTTCAAGATCACTGCATCAGAATTCATCTCACTGTATTATCGGGTATATTTTAACTAAATCACCGATAGGGGAACGTCCGCTGTATACGAGACAAATACACACAGTAATCTTAATCCCTGCATATAAAACAATGCCTAGAAAAAACAAATTAGAACTGAATAGGTAAATAATCTTGTCTAGTGATGTTTAACTGCATATTTGACATCTTCACTGACAAAGTCGTCTTCTCCTCTTTGTTTGTTCACCCGAAGCAATACGATGTCGTTTTCATACCCAAGTTTGACGAAAGTGTAACCCATAGATAAGTAACCCCCCTTCTACAGACTGCTATTTTTGGTCCTCAAAATTCAGCTTTTCTACAGTAATATATGGTAATCTCTGGGAGTCTGTATTCATGCTAGAGTACCCCCATCCTTCGATAATCTCCAGGGTATACGTTACGATCACTCTCCACTATACCCTGGATGCATCCACGGCTTGGGGGCGATGATTTTATTACCTCCCTTGGCTGGCTTTTTATCCAGTCAGGTGCCTACGCTGGGAAGTTGAGCGTAACAATCACTACTCACTTTCGCGTCTTAAATTATCTAACCATTTAAACTTGGCAACACAATTGATGCAGAGGTACTCTGAAAGAAGTAGAAGGAATTCTTTCATATATTCTTTTTAAAGTTTCAGATCTGTGAATTTGTCTTTATTATTTCCCGAAAAATCTGAGTGGCACTGCGAACAAGCCTTTGCGACTGCGACCGCTATCTGTGTTGACAATGGCAAGCTCGGTTGTAACGGCGGCTTAGCTGATTGGCTACTGTGAGAATGCGGAGCCAGCAAAGGGAGGTAATTAAATCATCACCCCAAGCCATGGATGCATCCAAGGTATAGTGGAGAGTGATCGTAACGTATACCCTGGAGATTATCGAGGATGGAGTACCCCAAGGAAGACTTCTTCTGAAAAGGAATTACCTATTCCTTGAATTCCTT